GGTGTTCTACATTTTACAACAGGTTTTTTAATTGGTAATTGTTTTCTGTATTGTTTAAAACAGATCAAAAATGTAAGTCTATTGGTAGAGATTTTAAGTATTTATTGCTACAACTTAGTTGACAAAAATTGATGTTACTGTAAAGCCATATGTTCTGTTAAGTCTTGTTTGCTTGAAACAATACCTTACAGGTGAAACACTAGAATATTTGAAGTGCACATGGCTTGTTGTGGTTTTTTTAAGTGGTTCACCTGCCTTTTAACCCATTCACCAAGATTTATTTTAACACCAAGCATCATTCAATTGAACATTTAAGAACAATCTGCCTATTTAAATGCCATAATCCTGTTAGACAAGTTAACAAAATGAAATGCCTGTGCTGCTAATCTAATTACAGTACATGCATTTTAAAAGTATAGTTTTTTAAATACAAGTCAATTTGGCACCTGAGCATGTTAATTGTTACTTTCACTGTATTGATCTGTGTGAGGCTTTCATTTGTACGTTCTAAACCAGTTTTTTTCTCAGCTGGTTTGTGTGTATATATATATATATATAGTGATTATGGAAACTAATTCCGTGTAATTTATAATTTTCTATGTCAGTATAAAATTCCAACAGCCTTCTCAAACAAACAGAAGCAATATACTGTATATTGCCACATTGTCTGGTGAAAGGGTTAAAGTATTTCACCTCTTGCACTTTTAGATGCAATCCATTTTTATTTCTGTAATAGTTATTCATTTATTTTTACATCATTTTGTTTTCCTGACCAGTATTTAAAGCCAAAAGGATACTCTAAACATTGGCCAATGATTTATTTTAGAAAGTGTCCCAAGCAACGTGCCTAAACATTACATTGCATACAGAAATAAAAAAAAAAGCAAATGTATAATGTTATTTCCCTTATTTCTTCCTGTCTTGCATTTCAAGCAATGCAGTGCTAGTATTTCTTGATAGAGAGACTTCCAGGGGCAAACTGAGAAATTAATTCATCAGCCCAATAAAAATGGAAACACAACCTGTAGTCATTTGCAGACAGAAGGGCAACAGTGGCTGTACTTGTTTATGTGTATACAAGGCAGGAATTTATATCAGTACTTGGTTTCTTTTAAACCCTTTTTTGTAAGGCACAGTAGTCCTACTTATATTGGGACTTGTTTCCAGGTGGGTGCAGCTGAACGTTTTAGACGGTAGCTTGAGTATCTTTAATGTGCCTACTTTGGGATGGTGGGGAAAAGTTGACTGACATTCTTTTTGTGTGTGACTTATTACTGAACCAGTTCTTGTGAAACCTAAAATATCTTTGGCTTCATGGGAGTGGCATGAGGCTGCACAGTAAGCATGATGTATTTAAGTGAAGTAATGCCTCTTAGTCTCTTGAAGTGACCTTCTCTTCCTTTGTAAATGAAGACAAATATGTTAGGTGGCTGCTTGAAGACCAGCAGAAAGAAGATGGCAGCAAGGTGTGGTTGGGTACTTGCAGGGATTATTGTGTAGACCTGATAAGCATTTATCCTTCTCACAAACTCTAAAACTTGCTAATTCTTATTTTTAATTGTATATTACCTGAACCAGGAATCCTTAATCTGCAATATGGAAAGTTACAGAAACTACAAAATATATGAAACCTAGATCATGTTCAGCTTCCAGAGGCATTTTCTTTTTATTTCTTTCTTGGAGTTCAGCAAGATTGAAGGGTGTTTTCGGAGAATCCTACTCTCCATTTGTTTGATAGAAATGGGCTCTGTCTTTATTAGTTGAGACATTGATTGAAAATTTGCTTTTTTAATCCAAGTAAAATGTGTAAATATATACCTCCTTGTGTGTCTATCATTTTCAGTGAGGTCAAGTGAAGGACTAAACTTTGAAAGTGTTTTTAAATAGAACCTTTGCCTTCCTACAGCTTTTTCAACTGCTTTTCAGATGGAGAAGTTCATTTGTCATTTCACGGTACGCCGACTTTCTGATACTGCCATGGGGGATTCTGTGTGAGAGATTGAAGTTCTACCATAGTATATAACTGAGGACAGCAACCATATCCACTAATATTAAAGGCTGACTCTGACTGAACCTTTTGTCTTTCTCTCCTGTATGTATGACCCAACAAAAGAGATTAACCCCTCTCATTTTTACTGATATATCTGGATACGTTTTCACAGCCATAAATTATAGTTACCTGCTGCATCCTTTCAAAACAAGATCTCCAAATGCAGGTCTTTTAACAAACAACTCTTTCACTTTCTTCAACGGGAAGAAAATGTTCAGTCACTTTCCCTTCTTGTCTGCCTTGGTGAACATGCTTTTGATAGGAAGGAGGTTTTCTTCTTTCATTATTATCTATCTCCAGTCTAACCACTACAGTAAACATAAGAACATAAATGCCATACTGAGTCAGACTAATGGTCCTATCTAGCCCTGTATCCTGGCTCTGGCAGTGGTGGATGGTTTAGATGGGTAGTTTACCCACTGAACTGGATATACCTAGTGATCTATCCCCTATTCATTGAAATACTGGTGGGAAGAAAACCTTATAGGGACATGGTGAAGCAGAGGAAAAATTTTTCATTAAATTTGCTTAACATTCTGCATGGGCAAGTTCCAGTCTACTTCAAAACAGTATTGGTGCACTGTTTCTCTTTTATGTCATGTGAACAGATAAAATACAGACAGCTGTATAAGGAACACTGTGTCTCATTCTTTCCTCTTTGCTAGTATTTCTAAATGGCTTTCTAAGTTACAATACAATAGTCAAAAAAAAGTCCTGTTTGAGTTTTAAAATGTAATAATTTGCCTTATTTCTTTTTTCAGATTACCAGCAGCCTTTTCAGAAGACAGTAATATGCTGTTTTCCTTCCTCCTTCCATCTCATTCTTTTCTGAGCATAGGGGGAAAAGCATAAAGAAAAGACATGTATGAAGAGGCCTAGGGTATTGTTAATAAAAGATTAGGATTCTTTTATTCATGTTGGATACTTGTGACCCTTTTGAGTGTCTCTCTGACATCTAGTCCAGGGCTGCCTGAAATTTTGGGGAAAGGGAAGGACAACAAAACATTCCCTGTTTTAGCTGGTTAGAAGATTTGAGCCTTATGTCCCAAGTTTTGTAGGACTAAATCCATGCTTAAGGACTTCGGGAACCTTAAAGAGCAAATTATTCTTAAAATATCTTGAGATTACCTAATTGCAGATGCATATGTTCATTCTCTCTTCACCATGTAAAAGAGTTGCAACTTAATTGCTAGAAATTAGTCGTCTTACTGTCTCTAAAATTTTACGCTGCCTCAACAGTACAAAAAAGTGGGGAATCCCGTGCCTCCTTTATAAATCTTTTTCCTATCTTCATCAGTGATTTGGACGAGGGGGTAAAAAGCACCCTGTTCAAATTTGCTGATGACACTAATATGTGGGGGGACGTGGGCACACTAGAAGGAAGCAAAAGGCTACAATCTGACCTAGACAGGTTGCAAGGGTGGGGGGATGAGAATAGGATGGGTTTCAACACAGACAAGTGCAAAGTGATGCACCTGGGGAGGAACAACTGGCACCATACCTACAGGTTGGGGAACTCCCCTCTTGTCAGCATGGAGGCGGAAAAGGATCTTGGAGTCGTCATTGACTCCAAGATGAACATGGGTCGGCAGTGTGGGGAGGCAGTTAGGAAGGCCAACCGTACCTTGTCATGCATCCACAGATGCATTTCAAGCAGGTCAAAAGAGGTGATCCTCCCCCTCTATGCGGCACTGGTCAGGCCGCAGTTGGAGTACTGCGTCCAGTTCTGGGCGCCGCACTTCAAGAGGGATGTGGACAGCATAGAGAGGGTCCAGAGGAGGGCCACTCGCATGATCAGGGGACAGCAGGGCAGGCCCTATGAGGAGAGGCTACGGGACCTGAACCTGTTCAGCCTCCACAAGAGAAGGCTGAGGGGGGATCTTGTGGCCTGTTACAAACTGGTCAGGGGGGACCAGCAGGCATTGGGGGAGTCGCTGTTCCCCCGAGCACCGCCAGGAGTGACCAGGAATAACGGTCATAAGCTGGCAGAGGGTAGGTTTAGGTTAGACATCAGGAAGCGCTACTTCACGGTCAGGGCGGCTAGGGTCTGGAACCAACTTCCAAGAGAGGTGGTGCAGGCTCCTACCTTGGGGGTTTTTAAGAGGAGGTTAGATGAACACCTTGCTGGGGTCATTTGACCCCAGTACTCTTTCCTGCCATGGCAGGGGGTCAGACTAGATGATCTGATCAGGTCCCTTCCGACCCTAGAAACTATGAAGAGCTTTCATAGTTTCCCTGTGCTTAGATGCACACGCCTGTGTAAAAAACAAAAAAAAACAAAGTGTATTGCAAGGGTGGCCACTGCTCTCGGAATAAAGCTCCCCCTTTCTCTTATGTATAAAAAGGACACTTCTATTTTGTTATCTGGTCAGAATGTTTCCAGGAGCCTTTCTAAAAAAGGATGAAATACGGTGCGACATCTTCCTGGGTGGCTCTGCATCAAGCCAGTAGTGATCATGGGTCAGAACAAGAGGCGCACAGGCCAAGTGGGAGGTAAGCAAAATCCTCTTCCTGTTGCAGAAGTGGGGCTTCTGCAGACAGATGTTTTGTGATAGGGCAGAGTATTGGCTTCACTTACAACATATACTTTTAATTTGCTTCCCTGGCTCTTGATGTGGCTCCCTGGGAACCCCAGAACGTAGCTAGAAGTTTCCCCTATCTTCCTTTGCTGGATGTTGCAAGTACTGAAAAAAACAGGGTTTCTCCCTTCCTGATTCCTCTAGCAGCGTGGCAACCTAGCCGTTAATGGTCCATCACCTTTTGCCCTTCCTGTACACCTGCAGCATGAGGAACACCTGGCAGTTCTACTGCATAGAAGGCATCCTCTGAGTCGGCAGTGAATGCTAGTTAATTGTTACAGGAGCAGAATAATTGGAACCAAAAAAAGAAGACAAATGCTCAACAAAAAAAGAAATTGAACACTTGGAACCACTTTTCTTTGTAATTGTGTTCAAATGTGATCCTGCTCCATCTTGCTGAGTCCCTGAAAAATTATTTTTTGTGGTGGGCCTTCATCTTGGCCCCAAGTCTTAAGTCATAAAAAGTGGTGTCCTAGCCAGCTTGCTGGGACTCCATCAAGATGGCATAGGTTCACACTTGGATGCTGAAGTACTACTTAAATGCTTAATAGGTAGATAGGGTCTCCCTACTAGGATCTTTGACCAAGTATTTGACACTTCTCAGTGGAGATGATGATGCATTGTCAAAGACCAACTTTGAAAAAAGGCCCAGAGAAACTATTCTCTCTAGAATGCCCAGATCCAATGATGGAGGGTAATTCTCACCCTGAGAAGAAAAGTATAACTGCAGATATATGTTGCTTCCCCCTTTTCTTCATTTTCCCTTGTTCATGATACTAGTCATGAGTTTGTCCTTCACTGTACCTTCAAAGGAGTCGAGTCCCGATGGGAAGAAGCTTTAAATAGATGGAGGTTAAACATTGTTTTATTGGTATCTGTGAAAACTGTGATATTGATGGAACATCTCAAATCTGTTTGTAGTTCTGGAAGTCAGAGGAAACTGTTAATCTTTTATAAGGATTACAAAGAGACCAGTTAGGCTAACACTGAAGCCTTGTTGTAGAGAAATTGAGGACTGTGTAGATTGTTACATCTACTTTGAGTGCTGTCTTTTAACAGTGCAAAAAATGTTATAAATCTTAAACAAGTCCATGTCCTTATGGATGAAATGTGCTTCTCAGTCAGATGCATGGCACCAAAAATTTGATTGCCAGGCTTATGATATGTTGTGATAGGTTTCTGTTTATTGGCCTAAATAAATGCACAGCTAGTGGGATGGGTGCTCTCTCATTTAGTCTTCCCACAGCAGCTTGCAAATCCTCTCTGATTTGTGCAGGGATGGTTTGCATAAGTGAGCATTCTTGCACACATGAAGTGGAAGGCTCTTGTGGAGGCCACAGCTATGTACTGATGCTTCAGATCATCTGGAGTTTTTGTTCCTTGTTTTTAAGAGTTGAAGTAAACTTATAATTTGTGCTTTTCAGTTTGCAGTTTGATTAACCCAAATTCATATGCATTCAATCATTTTATGCTACTTGAACTAATCAACATTTTTATGCAAGATAATTAGCTTGATCCAGGCAATTTTTAATTGCTATAGAAAATGCTATCTTGTAGGGAACCAATACTGTAACTAATTCACTTACAGCTAAGGTATAGTGTGAGTTTGGGGACTAAAAAAAAGGAGCTGAAAGTGCTTCACATAAATGAAGCAGAGGTTCTAAAAATGTATTTATTGATATTAAAATTATTTTGTAGGTTTTATTGCATTGTAAAGATCAAACAGATGAACACATAATAAACCTTTCAAAATTATATGGGAAGTAGGGGTGAAAAAGGAAAAACAAGTACTGATGCTTCAACTTTATCTGCTACTAACTAAAGAGAAATACATTCTCTGAGGTTGTGTAGAACATCAATAGTTTTTGCACATCAACCGGAACATACTGGATTTCACAATACAATATGGAAATCAATTCTACAAAATCAGCTTCTGTTTTTTGTTTTAGGGTATGAACATTTGTATATTTGCAACCTATTTCCTTCATGGCCTTCCTGTTGGGTTTGTCTTGCATCAGGTGGATGTGACCAGGACATCTGTCAGCCTTTACAAAATTGAGACGGCAATCGAGGACTGTACCCGATCTGTTGAACCTTCCTGTTTTGAGAAGAACAATTAAATGTTAAAAATGTATTTTTTTGTTACTTCCTACTTATTTGATATGAATGAAGCATCTTACCACATCTTGGACCAAATATAACTTTTAAGTAATGCTTCAACCTGTACCTTTTTGGTGCTGTCCAAAATAATTAAACAGTACCAATCTAAAGGCCCCAAATAAAACACTGCCCTTCTTCCCTCCCAGTTCTTAAGAAACCCAATTCACTAGGCAGTCTAGTACCCAGCACTCTTACCTCCCTGCCTCCTGGAAACCACTTAACTTAGCTGTTTGGTAAAACAAGTACAATTTAAAGTACATTCAGAAAGCTATTAACCAGAATAATGTATGTTTCTAATCTGAATCAAGTAACTTTTTTTCTCATTAAATCTGGCCAATAAATGGAAAAGCCTCAAATTTTCCTGTGCTCACGAAGAGAGTTCTTTCTTCAAGTTGTCACAGTGTGCCTGGTGACTGTAACCGTACTGTGAACTAGTTTTTAATTTGCTTTAGTTATGTAAAAATTGTTGACTCTGTATAGTAAGGAGAAAAGCATTTACTCACCAGTAACTGAATTGCCCTAATATAATACTAGCACAGATTCAAAATTCCTCTATTGTGACTTTAAGTCATAGTTGTAAAGCCCATAAGGAGATGGTAAGGCTCTAACCCATCTGTGGAAGGGCACTTAGAAAGTGTATCCCAACAAAAGTAATCAAGGAATTGTATTCGAGGTTGTTTTGGGACTGTCTTGAGTTCCAGTCATGCTTGCTGCCTAGCTTGGACTGTGCAAGTGTAGTAACACTGCATCAACAAAACTCTTTACTGCCAGGGAAACAGAATTGCAGGACTTAAAAGTTCAAGCCCCCCTTTCCCCTGTTTGTATGAGCCATACTCGCGGGAAGATGAATAATGTTAGCAGTTAAGGGGCAGTTGCTAATCAGCCTCCAAATTACCTCCATTTACATGTTGCAGTGCTTAAAGTGTTGGTACCTTGCCTTAAGTAGAGTGATCCAATTCAACAGCTTCCTTTACTGCAGAGGTCCAAGCTTCTTTCAAGGGCAGTCTATATAATCTAGTCCAGGGGTGTCCAACCTGGTGGATCACATATAGGCTGTGCGACTTTTCACTGACTTGATCCAGACCTTGTGGTGGGGTGGGGGGTATCAGGGAGCCATAGCAGTTAACACAGCTGTTGCTTAACACGGGCACTGAACCATGCCCCCAACAGGACTGCATGTCAGATTTTGGTGCAGGGCCCTGCGACTAAATCCCTGACCCTTCTAGGAGCCCCGTGAGCCAAATCCAGTTTATGGGCTGTATGTTTGACACACTTATCTAATCACTTAGCAAGCAGATGCCTACTAGCCATGAGGACACCCTAGAGGTAGGGATTTAGGGTTTAGGAATCTGATTCAGAGCTACAGAGGGTTGGTTTGCTCTCATGTCAGGATACAGATTACTTGGGGAAAGATTCCTCCCTGAACCATAACACTTATAGTATTTTGAAGAACAGTACTCTGCCTCCTCATTCATTCACTCTTGAATGTGAGGTGTCTGCCTTTTCCCTGATAACCTAGAGTTAAAAAATATTTCCCCAGTAAATCACTGACCTGGCTTTTAAGGCCCAGCCTGAATTCCAAACCAACATTTCTCACTTCCTATGGAAGTGATTTAACCACAAGGCTAGGGGCAAGGTCCCCTCCACCCCTCCATGTGGGCAGCCAAGATTGCAAGATTCATGAGGCTGGAAAGAAAAGAAGCAAGGGGAATAGGACTCAACAGTAATCCGTGAGGATGAGGGAGTCTTTGGTCCCACTCTGCTGCCAGGACTGCTTATATTAGTCAATTCTTATAACCCTGGCAGCAATGATTGTAACCTCCCAGAGGATTTTAGGTGCCTGTCAGCACAACTCTATATTGCATTGTTCTTTAACTGGAAGTTTGGCACCTTGCTGTACCCAGGTGATCTACCTGTATAATTTCTGGGTGGCCAAAATCTGAACTTTAGTCTAAAATGGGGGTGCTTGATGCTTGGTATCCACTTGTGCTGGGCCAATTTGAATTCTCTTCCAGGGTCTGAAAATGAAAAGATCAGCTATGGCTGTACTAAGGACTTCAACTATGGCTTTGGTCCACACTTATGTATAATTCATAGGACTTGAGAACAGGTTAGGATGTTTAGATAACATTTCAGATCATTTTGGGGATTGTGACTCTAACTTAAATCACAAGTGCTATCTTTAAATTCCAGAGGCCATCTTTGGACAGACCTGGAAGTTTCCACAGGATCTGGAAATACATGCATACAGAACCCTTTCCTCTTTCAAGAGCTAAACAAGAGGTGCAGATTTTCTGATGCCTTTTATTATTCCAACTGTATAGTTGGGAGACCTGTTAGGTAAGCTTTCAGGCATCATGTGCCCTTACTCTGAGCTAAAGAAATTTATCATTTTGAAGGTAATCTAATAAATGGCAGTTTAGCCCACAGAAAGATCCTTACTACACTGTTACTCCATGGTAGTAGAGACTTAGTTGTCAATATGAGATCTCATCACCTAGTCTTAGAATTGCTTTGAGTGCATTCACTATCTCAGTTTTCAGTTTTTCTGAAGGACAAGGACACCTCTGGTAAAGCAAATGGAAATTTTGTCTCCTTTTCATCAAAAAAGGAAGAGAATGTAATTCTGCTATACAGAGAATGGGCATGAGTTTCTCAAGGAGAAAAGCTAGCCACCAGAAATCTCTTTCAGATTTGCCAGAGTTCCTTTTCTTTGAAGGTTCTCATTGAAGCTTTGTTTCACTACGTGTTATCATTAGAGAACATGACTGAACAATCAACAAACACAGTGCAAATCATGGTTTGTAGATTGAAAGGTCTGAACTGACTATTAGGTTCATCCAGTCTAACTTCCCGTATAACTTGGTAGGACTTCCTTGAATAGACTGCTGTTCACACTAAAGACTTACTGGGAGCAGGGTAGTGTGACCAGATGATGCAACACTGAACATAACTAGTGCATGTCCATATTAATAATCTCATGAACTGTCTTGCATGAGCTACTGACCTCTTCATGGTTGATTTTTTTTCACCCTGATGAAATATACTGAAAAGCTCTCAGGACTCAGAAGGAGGGGGGACATTGTCAGTAGTTATGCACTTCTAGACCCAGAAGTCAGAAAAGAATCAGTGAACAGGTGCACAGCAAATGAGTGTTGTTCAAACATTTTTGGCAAGCTTAAATTTTGATTTTGAAAAACCTTTAAAAAAAATCACAATCCAGTCACCACTGTTATGTTGTAGTCTGCATGATTCTGCAGTTAACTCTCCAGTTATTTCCAGTGGTAGTGCATTCACCAGGATTTTTGGCTACTCCAGCTTTGAAACCAAATCAGTTACTTGCATGTTTTGAATATTGCCTATCTTTTGTTGATGTGTTCTAAATATTTCTTACTTTGTGCTCCTCCTTGCAGTATATGTAACTTCCAGTAGTGTACTAAGCAACGTGTTTAACATGTCACATGTTTTTGTTTGTTTTTTGTTTTCTTATCTTCCCCTTTGGAGTATTTGCAGTCATTGAATTTGTATGATAAAGGGGATATTAAGAGTTGGTCTGATTCAACCTCCTGAAAAAATATAGAGAGTGCTACTCCTAAAGCTTTCTTGTCCAATGCTTATCCAGCCTGCTTTAGAAAACCTCCAGTAAAGGAAATGCACTGTTTTTTAGGCAGCCTATTCTACTGCCTTACTGTTCTAACAATAAGAAAGTGCTTCTGATAGCTAATCTAAATCTACTTTGTTGCAATTCTAAAACCATTGCTTTGTGCAGGAAATACAATTTTAAAAAGCTCCCACATAAATAATATATTTTGTTTTTGTGTACATTATGTTAGAGAACACAGGGTTGAAGAAACAAACCTGGGACCTGAAGTTGAAGGCAATGATCTTTGATCCCTGGTCCCTGTAAAGTTAATTTCAGAGTCTTGGACTGGCCTCAAATTGGTTGTCACCCCTACACACAAGCTCTACTCTTGTTGTAGTGCTCCATTTTGTTGGAGGAGAATTGTGGTCAACCCCGATCTTCATCTTGCAAGTACCATGAATGTAGAGGAGATAGGAGTCCATGAGGGATAGTCATACCTTAAGGGGGCGATCCTCCAGGCCTAAAGGATAGCAGTCCCCGAGAGAAGCAAGGGGGGTAAGAGTGCTCAGAAACCCCCTTGGCTTAGCAAAGGCGTTCAGCAATGCCTGAGGACTAAAAGGGGGGCATACAAACAGTGGAAGGGAGGAGCTATCACCAAGGAGGAGTCCTCCTCAGCCCGTGAGTGTAGGAGGGCTGTTAGGAAGGCCAAGGCAGAGATGGAACTCAGGCTAGTGTCCAGGATTAAGGACAACAAAAAGTCCTTTTTCAAATACATGGGGAGCAAGAAGAGGGCACCAGGCAATGTAGGGCCCCTGCAATATGCAAACGGTAATCTTGTGGCTATGCCA